TGGTCAATTGTAAATTTCCTTCCTTGTACTCTGATGGATAGTTCCAAATTATGAAAACTCCTGTCACCTTTAGTGTTGGAATGAAATATGTATGTCAAAGTGAAACTTCAGTGTAAACCAGTAATTACAGCAAAATAGTCAGGCTCCTGCCCATGTCAGAGTGCTCAGTGAATAAATTAGATTCGGGCAGCAAGATTTGAACTGACCCCTCGCACAATTCAATAAAAAACTCCATGTCAGGGTTTTTTTGTTTGTCTTTCCTTTCTTATTTACAGCATGAAGGGGTGTTGACTGCTGTGGATGCAACCAAGGAACAAGCTCTAGCCAAACGCTATGAGATTAAAGGCTTTCCCACTCTCAAATATTTCAAGTAGGCCTGATTAGCCTTCCAATTGATTTATTATACTTCTGTTTGTCAATACAAAGCAACATGAAAGGAGGAATTAAAACAATTCTACATGGTGTACACTTGTTTGTGTTCTGCACTTCTGACAAACTCTTCAAACATTTTCTCGTTGCTTTTATCTGATTTGAAATATAGAGAAAGAGATACCCGGTATATACCTAAGAGAAACTTCCAAACTCATTTGACAAGTTTGACAAGTTCAAACAGATACTCCAGTAATCAACTATTTTCTGTCCCGTTTTTTAAACTGACCCACAGAGATGGTGAATTTGCTTGGGATTTAAATGAAAGAACGGGAGAGAAGATCCGGGAGTTCATGAAAGAGTGAGTCCTTTATCAAGTCTCATCCCTGTCAACTATGGTTTATTCCAAATTTGTAAAAATCAGGATATCAACACAACCAAATAGCTGCATACAGTCCATTATTACAAGTCCTAAAGTCCATTACAAGTCATCCAGTCTCAAGCCAAGCCACAAACCTATTTACGTGAAATGTGACAAAGGAAATCTTTTGTCATTCATCTAGTTACTTTTGACTGATTTTTATGAATGGACTTGACTATGTCTCTTGTTGTTCACTCTTTGGACATTTTCCAATAATCAAACATGTTTGAAATTTAATTACATAACTCTGCTATTACAATTTCATTTCTAATATCTGTATCAAACCTATTTTTAATAGAAAGGAATTAGGAATGCAGAGAGAGTGTGATGATTCGACCACTTTCACGCTGCCACGAGATCCAAGTAAATTAGGAGTGGTTGGGCTCGATGTAATTGAGCAATATCTTCCCCAGTCCTCTTGGTAGACTTTGACGGGTCTCAGGGTCTGGGCTTGAAATTAGATGCTCATTCAGCCTATATTCAAGACTCAAAAAGGGCTATTAAACCACTTCAATGTGTTTCAAATCAAGTCACACGCTGTATATTGCCCCTCAAATAAAAATGAATCTGACAAAATGACTCAAAAAAGGCTTTTTATTGTCAAACATTTTGTGTACTCTTTGTTGGGATGTATCACTCAGTATGGAATCCTGATGAAAATGAACGTCAGTGGGTGAAAAATGACGAGGATTCTTATCGGTTTGTATTGTGCAAGATCCTTTCAACGGCCTTTAATTCAAACGTGGCTGTGACGATTTGGGACTTGGGTTTGGTTTGTCAAGTATTGTAGACCTGCTCCCATTGAGAGACACCTTTTTACCTACAGTATCTGAAGGCCATAACAACACTTTTTCTCCACTAATGTTGCCTGCCACAGCCCCTCAGAACCTCCTCCACCACCTCCTCCTGAGCCCAGCTGGAGTGATCAGGAAACGGCTGTCATCCACGCAACCGGTGAAAACTTCAAGACGGTAACCAAGAAGAAGAAACACAGTCTGGTCATGTTCTATGCTCCCTGTAAGCACTTTTACCTCTTAATGCTTTCCCTTAACCACTTGCCAATTCCACAATTAACTTGTCCCAGGCACCGTATTATTAGTGACCAACAATGCTGAATTTTAAAAATAATGCCACAGTTCTCAAGAAACTTTGACGTGATGGTCACTCATCCAAGATTTAGGTGCATTTTTGTACCAAATTGTCACGTTTTTGAAAATCCTTGAGTTCCAAATAAAGTTGCAGAGCGACATTTTCAGTAGCCCCTGGCTTTGGCAGACAGAGACTTGAGACTTCATACATATTCAACTGCAACAGACTCGTTCAAGCCATTGTGTGTGTACGAATACAAAAGTGAGTAATCATTCACTGTTGTCAGGGTGTGGTCACTGCAAAAAGGCCAAGCCAGAGTTTACGGCAGCAGCTGAAAAGTTGAAAGACGAATTAAAAGTTGCTTACATTGCTGTGGATTGCACTGATGACAAGAACAAAGAAATGTGCACGACGTACGACGTAACAGGCTACCCGACCATCAAGTACTTTGTTTACGGTAAAGATCCCGTGCCTTACAGTGGAGGAAGAGAGGTGAGTTGTTTCATGGGTGGAGTTCTTCCAAATACTCAATTGAACACCTGCTCAAACCGTACTTTGTCGAATTTGATGGCTCAGCTTTCCATAAATTTCTACATGACCATTTGCATGGCATTTCTTGTAATAGTTGTTGGAAAAAACATTGGCGAACAATCTAAAGCAGAGTTTTAAAAAGATAAAATGTGGGAGTCATAGTTCAAACCATGCATGATCAGTTTTCATCAGAATGTACACAAATCTGTATTGTCTTTGCAGAAATGCCAGGTACAAATTTGTAGTGATTTTCACGTGTTGTAATCCCTGTTCGTCACCAATTTGGTGGTACAAATTGTGCAGGGATTCCACAGTATACCTTGCTTGTAACCATTGCTTCCCCCCATTTTTCTGTCTACCTGACTACAGGAGATTGACTTTGTCCGCTTCATGATGCTTTTGGTCAACCCTGATGCAGCGCCCCCATTACCTGAACCTGTGGTAGAGGATTTCTGGGCGGAGCTTGATGGTGGGGAAAATGTGTTACAACTGGCGGACAGCACCTTCGATGAAGTCATCAACAAAGAAGAGTCGGTCTTGGTCATGTTCTATGCTCCATGTAAGTAGGTATTGTCATTTGAGGTGTCAAGGTACTAGACCTTTATCCTGATACTGTAGGAACAGGGGAAACTTTGTAATGAGTCGTTCTTGCTAAGAGTCCGGATAAATGGTTGATTATTATTTTCGATTTTTGTTTTCAGGGTGTGGTCATTGCAAGAAAATGAAACCTGCCTACTCAGAAGCTGCGACTCTTCTCAAGGAAGCTGGGGTAAGGAACATAGATGAGTGACCATCTTACTAGGAGAACTCCTGTCAATTCCTTAGTTATTTTCTGGATGGCATTTCTACCTAGGCTGTACAACCTGTTGGTACCACTGTTGCCGTGGTTGGAATATGAATCTCTGAAAGAAATGCATTATGAGAGTAGGATTATTGAAGCAAGAAAAGGTTTTTGTAGTGTCCCCACGCATAGACCCTAGATATTTGTACTCATTCAGGTGAAAAACAAGCCATGTTAGAAGGTTGCGGCTGTGGAAAAACATGTGCACATATGGCAGCCACTGTTGAGTGGCTGTAGCCATTTCCCATAGATGCATGTGTTAATCCTAGCCATAGCCAGTTGATTCAAACAAGTTCATCATCAAACAAGTTATCATGCCACTAACATGTCACATGTGCATGAACCAGTATTACTCCTGTATCGTTTCTGGTCTTTGGATCTGTGTCTTCTTTTTTTTTTAGAAGAGATTTTTTTGGGGGGGGGGTAGTATAAGGATGACGGGGATTGTAATGCCTTTTGTCCTCTTTGATGTATGTAGCACCCTGGAGTACTTGCCGCTGTGGATGCGACAGCCAACAAGGCCTTAGCAGCTAAATATGATATTAGAGGATACCCAATTTGTAAGTAGGTTAGACTGAGTTGACAATTGTGGCGAGACATAGGTTGGGATTCGGACCATTTCTCAAACACTTGTTTTAGTTAAGGTTCTTATTCCTTAGCTCCAAATTACGCATCTCAAGTTACCAAAGTTTGAATTTTGGACTCAGTTCCTGAAATGTTCTTTATTCAAAACTCTGTGCTTTTTTGTTTAGCTGTGGAAACCTTCCTAAATCCTACAAAATCCTTTGTACTTACACTTTTACTGGACATCTTATGCCATGTAAAAATATTACTGGCTGGTCTGCACCTGCTTGAATTTTACAAGTCCACCAAAGCAACTAGTTGGATTTTGAAGGAATTGGGATAGTTAAAGTTCACAGCAGAAAAATGGATATAGTGTTTAGAGGTGCTAAAATCATGGAGCCAATGTCAGATAATTTTTAAGATCAATGTCCAGTGTCTAGTTTACAACGTCTAAAATACACTTGATAACTAATCACTTGCCTTCTCCAGTGAAAGCATATCTCAGATAAACCGTGTGGTCAGGCGGTACTTTGACATCATTGAATGGGTCCCCATTTATACCAACATTGTTGTGACATGTCATATTGTCATATTTGGTCACTGCTTACATTGATTTGAGTCTTGTTTCCTTTTTTCCCACCTTACACCCTTTTATTTTTCCCTTGACCTTCCTTGCTCTGCAACCTCACCATGGCACCTCTACAGTAAAGTACTTTAAGTAAGTGAAAAGAAAAAAGATTGTAGATTTACTGCTTTCATGCATTATATTCATACTAGTCAGAATTGACCGGAAAAAAGTTCAAAGTGTGCTCCTTAAAAAACGTAACACTCCATTTAGCTGAATAAGTGAGAGTTGGTTTTTATCTTGGGGGGGGCGTGATGTGATGTGTGATGTCACCCTATGCTGCTTCTGTGTACCATAATTCAAAGCCCCAGATCACATCAAGTGATGGTCTTATATTGATCTTTTTTATCTTTACACTAGGAATGGAGTTGCAAATGATTACGTCTCTGGGCGTTCAACAGATAACATCATGGACTTTATGAAAAAGTAAGTCAATCCCCCTTCATCCACAGATGCTTTGTTGCTGACTGCTGACTGCTGACTCTCTACTCTAATATCTGACATGGGATTTTCGGAAATGTTCCATTACTTGCCATTTTTGTTGGGTAATTAACCACAATAGGAAGGAAATGCCAGTCCCCTTATTTGAAATGTTCTAAGATGGAATTTTTGAATTCTGCAAAGTTTTTTTTTTCACGTTGGGCTTTAGAACCAAAGGTATTTTTTTTCACGTTGGGTTTTAGAACCAAAGGTATTTTTTTTTCACGTTGGGTTTTAGAACCAAAGTTATTTTTTTTTCACGTTGGGCTTTAGAACCAAAGGTATTTTTTTGCAATGGGGCTATAGAAAAATGTAAGAAGATTTTCAAGATTTCAGGAAGCTGTGCTTGTGTTTGATGAAGTATCTGCAATTGATGTAGAGGGCAGCATTCTTATTTGGGAACCCATTGTCCATTTAACCGTGCAGTACTCTAAAAAGAAAATTCAATACAATCTGCATTTCTGATAGTCTTTGTGATTCATAAGCTTTGAATCTCTCCACACTACTCCTCCCCATAGTCCAAATGAAGCTGCCACGCCCATCCCTCCTACCCCCGAACCCAAGTGGAGCGACATACCCAGCGCAGTCAACCACCTCACCCAGGAAAACTTCAAGCCATTCACTGAGAGCAACCAGCATGTCCTGACGATGTTCTACGCTCCGTGGTGTGGCCATTGCAAGGCAGCGAAGCCTGCCTTCCAAGCCACTGCCGACGTACTCAAGAACGAGGAAGGAATGGAGTTAGCTGCCGTGGATTGTACCGTGGAAAGGGGTGAGTCAGCAAATGATGTTTCCCTCGGGTAGATCAGAGCTGTATATGGAGAGAGATGCGACATGAGTATCACCATTATTAGGAACTAACTAGCAGGTGTATATGCCCCATTGAGCACAGACAGTTGGTATACAATAGCTGCTTGCTCCAGTGGACTCATAGTGAACAGCCATTTTGTTTCCAAAATCTGAAGCTGGCGCTAATCTGCTCAGGGGTAGATGAAGTCCAGTGCTGTAGTTGGGATCCATCCCAAGTCCATGCAAGTCCAGTACAATACGGGTGTTACACAATAGCGCACCTCCAAGAGTTTACAACGCGTTGGCGAATCACAATGTGCGAAATCTGTCGATCCAATGCACGTTTAGAAAGGGTTGACAGATTTCGTGCATGGTGATTGGCCAACGTGTCGCAAACTCTTGGAGGTGTATTTATCCAGTCTTAAGCCAAGTCACATGCCATTCAAATGAACTGTGACACAAGCATTTGTCATTATTTACCCATTACTGATGAATTGCCTCGTTGAAGGACCTGTGAAATGGATTTGTGACAGACTTAACAGCTACACTGGTTGTTCTGGTTTCAGCGAAGCCACTTGGTGAAGCCAATGCCCTGATTTTTTTCTTTGGTTTTCAGGGAAAGTTATAGTGCAGTTTCTTGGATAATTTTGCTAGGAAAGTTGTCCTAACCATTCATTTATACAAGTATAATGTTCACAATGAGCACAAACCTAATTAGGAAAACGAGTTACTTAAAACTTAAAAAGAACAGCCAAAATATGCCCATGGGATTTGAAACATGTAACACCACATCCATAGTTAAAAGTGCTATCTGCTTGACTATCGCAGGGGCTCAGCAAAATTGGTTGTTTGAAAAGTTACATAGATGTGTCAACTGAGCAAGGACTGCAGTGGCACCATTATTTCTTTGAATAAACAAAAGTGTGACCTGAAAAACTACTGAATTATTCATAAAATGAGTAGCCACTAGATTTCCCAAACACAGCCAAATTCATTTATTGATTTGTGTGCTTTTGCTCTGGATGTTGCTTTGGACTTTGTTTCTGGACTTTGCTTGGAAATATGGTTTTCCAGAGAGTTATTAAAGTCAGAGATGTTTTGATAATTGTGTCTCGGATGAGACTAAAGTAATTTATTTACTCTCTTTTTTGCATCACTCAGATTTGTGCAGTAATTTTGAAATCCAAGGATTCCCCACCTTCAAACTTTTTACAAAGGGAAGCCCGACAGAATACCAAGGTGGCCGGACAAAGAGTGATTTTTACAGCTTTATGCAAAGCCTGAAGGGTGGTGCTGGAGACACACCTAAAGAGGAGCTCTGATGACGGCTGCTGGCAAGTAGATAGCGCCCTCATGTTTGTCATCGTCATGGGAGTGGGGCATTTTATATCATTGACTTGGGGCAATGGTGGAGGGGAATTTCTTGCTTTAAATATTTTTTTTCTGAAAATTGTACCTTGTGACTCTGCATTCTGTTTTGAAAAATCATGACCTTTAGGGTCAACACAAGGTCATGACAGATTGGGGTCCTGACACTTTGACCTTTGCTCTTTCATAACATTTGTTATTTTTGAAATGGCGTACTCATGAAATGGGTACATTGTATCAGATGTAACTGTGTGCCAGTTTTGATGTAAGATTTTTGTGGGAGTTGTGGGATATTTAGTTTGGTTTGGTTTAAGAGGCCTTTTTTGCCTCGATGGAGACAAACAGTCAATATCTCTAGTTCCTTTGTTCCAGTGCTCTCTGTACTTGTAATTTAGCACCTCTGTGCTCCACTCAAGTGTCTTAATCAACAAAATTGTATTTTCTGCAATTACTACAAGTAGAGAGAATGTGGTTGAATGAATGTGGAATTGACCCCAGAACAACTGTATTGTTGGTCCAGTGGTCTGTGTACTGATACAGCCAAGCTTCAGTGAAAAATGTCTACTAATCAGTTGGTTTTGATATAGCGAGTTGGGAATATGATTCAAATGTTTCAGTCAATAGTGTCAGGGTTCACCAAATTCAGTGCGATGTTGACTGGGACAAGCACCAGGGAACAGACTGCTGGCACTCTGGCCCTCCATATACGGGCCATGCAAAATTACCAAAGGATAGTGTCTGGCACCCAGACTTTCATGTCGAATCCAAAACTTGAAATGCATAGTAAACATGTTTCTCCCTGTGTCTTTTTTACTACCACAAGTTTTCCATTTCAAACATGAGGCTTTCTTTTAATTTCATCCTTGATCCTTTTTTATTGTTCATGTGGTGTTTTGGATGGTGGGGTGTGAGAGGATGGAGTTAATCCCTGTCCTTATAAATGGCCACTTTAAGTACTGTGCTACCCCATCTCTACCGTGTTTCGTACCATATAATCCTGCTCAAAATTGTAAATAAAAGTTTCACCCTGCTGGATAGAAACTTCAACCACAAACACCACATAAAGCAAAACTGTGCCAAGCCCAATCACTCAGAACACCTGGAACTATAGACAAATGATGTTTCCTTGGAAATTTCTAATGACTGCTTTTAATGGCAGAAAGGAAGTGTTTGTTTATGGAGTGACTGTCACAGATCTGCGATTACATTCAATGGTCAGCACAATGCTGACTGTCCTTGTGAGGCACCACTGTAAACGACCATTTGATGTCGATACTGTCATATATATGACTGGTCTCATGTATACCTTCTCGTTTTTCCTCCTATCTGGAAGTGTAGCACAGGGGAAATGAAAAGGAATGTTATATCAACATTTTCTCTCACCTAATGTCCATTGTAATCAGGATGCTTAACTGAATGATGCAACAACAGACAAAGCTTACTGGGAAAATGGCCGAAAGAAATATTTTGTGACAAGAGTGAGTGAAGAAAGTTACTCTGATGAGTGAATCATTGGCTTCATTTTTTTTCATTCAAAAATTTTACTGGTACTTGCAATATTGCTTGCAAGATATATCAACGTTGATTCAGTTTTGAAGGAATTGATTTTTCTTTCATTTTGGCATGGGGACAAGTCTTATCATTTGATTTGAACTTTGGAGAAATAAAACTGTAGGTAATTTTGAATGATGTTTCAATTTTCTTTCACTTTAGCTTGTTTTGAATCTTCAGTTGACCCCCCCTTTTATGAACAGGAACATTTAATTTGAATCTCTGTGATATGTATATTTGTTCATTTCTTGGTGTGGGGTACTTATTTAAGTCTTCCCCGTGTATTATCGTAGGCTTAAACTCAACACACACTGAACGATAACAGAGTTTAAGTGTTGGTCATGGTGGTTTATTCTTAACAGGTCCACAAACGTAGCCCAGCACCTCTTATCTGGGCTAAATAGTAAATTAAAACTTTTTAAATTTTGTACCATATACAAGCCGTGTAGTATGACCACAGTCAGACCCAAAACGCCACGCTGTAAAATCACGCTTCGAGTTTTAACGCCTTTTGGTACCCATTTTTAAACATGTTTAACCCACGACATGTTTAGATGTTTGTATTAAAATGCGTCTAGGAATATGTTCGAATGCTAACTGCTATCTCATGGTACATGTTTCGCTTTGTGAAAAACCGCTTAGCATTTAAACACATTCCTAAATGCCTTTCAATGAACATGTCGTGGGTTAAACTTGCTAATGGTGCGGGGGGGGGGTGTTGAGAAGTATGTTAAATTCAAAGCGCCTTCTTTTTTTGGGGGGGGGATTTGTATTGCATCGGAGTCATATTGTCACTAGTAAAAGTAGCTTCCTGGAAATGTTACTTATTACTAGTTACTGCTTTGGCTGAATTGTGCTTGTAGTAATAGAGTAATGATACCAATTGGTTTGTCTGTCTGAAGCCATATCAAACATTTCAATTGTTTCTATCGACATTTTACACTAAACGAGCAATAAAATGGGTACTGTGTGGACAGTATTTGCCCTTTGTGATAAACAAAAATTAATCCGGTGATAGACATCTCTCGCCAGACGGTCAGCTGGCTTTATTTTCTGTGGTGTCGCGCCCTTCTGTTTTTACACTTCACATTGTTTCTTTATCAGCTGCCGCTGTAACGGTCTTATTTATCCGGCGTGCTCGGATTTCCGGAAGAACGCGCCGGATAAATGAGCACGTTGCCGGGACGTGCTCACTTATCCGCCGTGCTGATTTTTCCAGTTGCGTACGTACAATGTACGTACGCTGTGGTCCCGCATTTGATGCGCGTCGTGTCTTAGGCGTACGAAGAAATGCAGATGAGACTGGGAGATTGGGGGTGGTGCAATCATTATAGATGTACATGTATGTCAAGCCCATAGAATTGGATATAATATCCAACTCTTGTTGAGCCATGAGTGCGGACATTGGAGAAGTATCCACGGTCAGCCACCTCGTTCTCATGGGGTACGATATTGCAGCTCCATACGCTGTTTCCCAACACTCCTTGAGCGATCTTAATTTGAACGCGCTCGCAGCCTATGTAGTCGAGGTTGATAGGAACTCAGCACACCCATAAAAGCGAACAAAACGGGACTTACTGCGCATACGTTCGGGTGCTAGTTCGGGTCGCTCGGCAGTGTTCGGTTAATGCCCGGATATCTGAGCTCGCTGGATACATGAGACCGTTACACCGGTTCAGATTCCTTGAAGTGAAGTCACCTCTCTCTTTCCTCGATGAGCGCAGAGCGTTGGGGCTGGTCCCACTTTTAAATGGGCAGCATTGTGCGTATGTATTTCCAATGCAGTCCATCAGAATGAATAAAAGTTTGTTTTCCAAAAGAGCCCATATGCTTCAAGTGACACAGGCACGCCATCAAAAATTAACAAAAAATACCACAGTTTCCCATGAAATGCACTTTTCAAAGGTTTAGGCCTGTGAATTTTCAATTTTGAGAGTGCTTCACGACTAGTTCGCTTAAAGTTTGTACTTAGTTCAGCTTATTATAAACTTGGAATGAGCAAGTTTGGTCTTTCAAACAGCCAAGGTCTTTCGGGAAAAAAGCGCGCACTGAAGTCTGCATATGGCTACGCTGATAGGGAAAATCATCAAACGCGTCCGTAGTTGTTCCCAAATCCGAGAAATATGGAAAGGCTGCGTAGCACCGTGATCAGAATATCGACAAGAATATAATATAAAATCAGTGCCCTGAAACATGTATTTGCCAAGCTTTCGGTAACTGAGTACTTTCTTCAGGGCAAGCACAAATTATATTCTTGTCAATGTTCCCAAATCCGATTCGTTAAGTGTGACATCACTATAGTTTAACCCACGGCCACTACACATAGTTACGAGGAACCATGCATGGAACCGGAAGTTAACGCGCAAATTAAGTGTTCGTCGAATGGGAGCCTGCAATGGTGCGTCCGCGTGTACGACGAAGTCGCCTACGAATAGGATGGCCTCGTACTGAGCATGCGCTGTTGCAATACTGAACTGGCTCATTTAGGTATCTGGTGCCAAAAATGAATTTAAATGAATGGCGTCTCCCTACTGTGTATGTAGTAAACAACATTTCTACATGGTCGGTCTGCGAACATCTCCCATTACCGTGTAGTTTTTTTACAACCCTGCCCCACTGTGTATTAAAAGCGGTTTGTCTTACGAGGGAAACCACGAAATCACTCGAAATTGCAGCTCCACATAAATCTCGATCTATTCGAGATCCATTCACTGATCTTCGTTTTGTTCCTATATAGAGTTGGCTTTCACTGGTTTTAATATTTGACTGGCACTTCCAGACCAGAACTGGCAAAAAGTATTTTCACTACCGCTTATCCCTAAAACGTTCATTTTTCATTTTTGTTTGTGTGAAATTAACTGTTGTCTCCGCTAGTCATCATAAAAATCAATACATCGATTTGGTTTGAGTAAACAACTCCACAACAGTAGAGTATTTCTAATACATGCCATCCACAAAATAGGCCTTGTTTGTTTTGTTTTGTTTGTGTGAAATTAACTTTTGTTTCCGCTAGTCATCATAACAATCAATACATCGATCGGGTTCGAACGAACAATTCCACAATAGTCCGAAGGTCGCAGTTCCCTGCCGCACGAGGGCATATTTCCATCCTTACGGTTGGTTGGGGTCCTTTTCGTATGTCCGCATTTGCACGTTTCAATCCAGTACAATAAGCCACTTGCGAGTTAAATTTGAATAAAATATGGTACACTGTGTTATCTGATTGCACAGAAACGTAATAATTTGAATTCCCCAGACTAAAGACACTGTTGCTATACCTCATGATTCGGGGCAAGCTTTTGCATAGCGATCACCATCTCTGGAATGGACTGGTTCCTTTCTGCCCTTCTTATCCATTGAGAACAGTGTATTGTTACAAGATGTCTCTTACGTAACTAAACAAAAGCTTGCCCGAATCACGAGGTATAGCAACAGTGGTTTTAGTGTGGAGAATTCAAGTTGTTATGTTCACGTGAATTTAAAGAACTTGTACCAGATTTTATTCAAATTTAACTCGCAATAATGGCTTATTCAAACGAACACTTTGGAACCTACGGACACGAGGTGCATTGAAAACTCGTTGATAAGATGCCTCACAAAGCACGTACACGTTAATTAATGAAGCTTCGGTAAGCGCGAAAGGATACATTGCAGGAAACTATTTTTGTGGATTGTGTAATGTCAATGGTAATGGTAGGCCCATTGAAGGAACATCATTCAAACGCGAAGTCAGGGCTTTGTTTTGCATTGCAAAATCAAGATTTTTGTCCCACTTAGGTATTGCACTTTATTAGGAAAACACTGGTAAACTAATTGTCGACTTGGAACTATTTTTTCCCATAGTTAACACCCGTGCGTACATTGCTTTTATTTTCAACAACCCGAATTAGCAACTTGTCTCTTATCTATTTTACTATGTGATTCTGCTCATTTTGTTCAGTATACGAATTTCAACGTCGTATTTTATTTTATGAAGTTATGGGTCCTGAAAATTGACCCCCAATGGCGCGCGTCCCGGACGCAACCCGTGGATAGAAAAATAACGTGCAAAAAATTTAGAATTTGTTATTTTTTTGTTCAGCTTCTTCTAAAAAATCAAAATCGAAAAAAGCATTCGGAATATCATTGCTAGCATATCATACAAACTGAAAATTTACCCGACCCAAAAGACAAATATGCTGACAAAAATGTACCCATCCCTTCAGAAAATCTAAAATATCTGACGGACAATGCAGTTCTGCGGACTCGTATGCAGATAACATGTATGGAATGAAACTTCGTGGTAGTTTGTCGGTGAAAGCCAAAAGAAAAACAGATCAAACTATTTTTACAGACTGTTTAATTTATACGGTAATAAACTAAAAGCAATAATCTACTCTTTGGAAAGATTCTAAAAACCTTTGCTGACAAGAACTGCGTCATGTCAAATCAACGGAATATGGAACCCATTAACTGCTGGTAGGTAAATCTCAGCAAGGCTGTAAAATCTGATTTTCACGTAAGCACGGGGAGTGACAACAGAGATGCATCAACAAGGAGGCTAGGAACAATATTGCTGGAAGTGAAAGTTCGTTATTGAAATTCGTTTTTTACCCATCTCCAGGTGGCTTTTCCTAAATATGACTTGAGGAAGGTAAATTCTAGCTCGAGTGTTTCATGAGTTGGTTTCAGTTAGGAATAATTCTTCCAAAGATATGATAGAAGGCTCCATGGAAAATCCCAATAGGCGGACCACGCGAGGGTCCCGAAAGCTCGCATCGTGACCCTTTACTTCTAGGCTGTATTACAGAAATTGCACAGAGCGGAGGCTCTAAATAATAACGAATCCCTAACACAGATTTCCAATAATTATGTGTCCGAAGACGCATCGTTGGAAATGGTCTTCTTTCATTGTTCACTTAAAAGTCACAGAAGTTCCCTGTTCTCCGCGTTCTTCCAAGTCAATACAATGTAGATACTGTTTAACTCGACCGTGCGGTACAAATTCAGGAACTTGTGCAAAAAGGAAACATCTAATAAGCTAACCTTAATTTGTTTGTTCTGTAAGAAAACAGGCCATGGAATATCTAGGTGTTTTGCTTACTCCAAACAACAACAAGCTAGTGGTATTGGTGGCTCAAAGTATCAATTGTCATACTCAGAGACACAGGGGCCTTAAGGTCTTTGCCTCTTGAGGGGGCAGTTCCCTTAGATGCTCAGCCAATATGCAGGAAGTAATGCTATGGCAACTGATATTGGTGGTAGTATAGTAGTATGTATGTAGTATGTAGGTTGTAGTATAACTCAGTATAGGTCTACATTGGGTATTGCTACTGTAACATCTAGTGCCTATCCCCCTCAAAGTTAAGGTGCACTTGAGCGTTTCCCCCGATAGTGCTAGTCGACTCGAGTCACTATTTTTTGACTTGCGACTTAACTGTGGAAAAATGACTTTAAACTTGACTTGAATTGGGAAATAATGACTTGGTTACAACACTGCTCTCAAACCGTAACTCTATGATAGGCGCCTATTTTGTGGGACATAGCGAGGATTGGAATGAAGGTTTCTCGATACTCCTCTTTGCTATTTGCGAGGTACGTTATCTTATCATTTAGCCCATTTGAGTTGGTTTTTGGGTCCAGTGCAAGAGGTCTGTTAGCTCTAGTGAAAGAGAAGTGGATATAGTAGATGATCAAACCCTTGGTAAGGTTCTGAGCTACGTTGTAAAACTTAACGTCAAAAGAGTGCTTGTAAACCTGCAGAAATTCACCTTCAGGAAGTTCAAACAGAAATGAAAACCTAATATGATCGTAAAGCTCTGAGTCGTGGTTTGCCCCAGAAGACCATGTACTTGTGTTATTGCCGTTGCAAGTTCAGCCACTTCAGGCTCGCTATAGTGACCCTTATGTAATCGAAAGTAAAACAAAAAAGGTGACTAGGGTTTACAGTTAAGACTCTTGATAGGCGAAAAAAGGCAGTTGTGCCATGTAAATATGCTCAAACGTTACCATGCTCGACCATCAGGACAAAAAATGAAATCGTAAGTACAACAGTAGATTCTGATGAGATGGATGATTTTCATGTGCCAGGTGACAATATTAAATTGAGTGATTCGCAAATTTTGGCGAATCTAAAACCGCAACATCTGACTTCAGATCAGAAATGTTCAACCTGTTGAATAAAAACAAGCATTTATTTTCTGATGCGCCTACTAAACTGATAATGCTGAGCATGATGTGGATGTTGGAAATGCCTCGCCAATCAAGCAACATCCTTAGAGATGTGGATCAATGAAACAGGCTCTCATGAAGAAAGAAAGTCAATATATGGCAGAAAATGACATGTTAAAATAAATACAAGTTAATGTTAAAATAAAATGCCATATTACATTAAATAAATCAACTGGAAATTACATGAAAAGATCGATCGAATCAGTTTTAACAAAACTCGCACTGTGAGAATAAAATGAGGATTTAATTGACGGGAAACCTGTTAAGTGGCCTGGAAAGGAGCCACTGCCTAGCTCAATATTCATTCTTTGTACAAGTTGCGATGAAAGTGAGTAGCGCATTAGGCCTACTCACGATAATCACACATAAAAAGCCTGTTGAAAGAAAAAAGTTTAACTTTATATTTAAGCTGACAATTTTCGTTGCTGCGTAGTTTCAATCGGGAGTTCATTCCAGAGTTTTGGACCAGCAATGGTAAATGACTTGTCGCCAAGTTTGTTTTGCGAAAAGGGTATCTTCAGGTAGAGTTGATCCGACGACATAAGTACCGGTTGAGATGACGCAGATGGAAGGTGTCAACAAAAGAGTCAGGGTAAAGTTTATGAAGCGAAATGAAAACTAACCCAAACCACATGGACAGATGTTTGAACTGAATTGCGATTGGTAATAGGTATTGCAGTTCAAGTATTGATAAATACATGGAATAATATGACAATACTTTGGTTACTAACTAATCCAGCAGCAGCATTTTGAACACATTTATGATTATCGATTTGAGATTTCAAGTAATGAACTATTGCAATAATCATTTTGACTAATAAAAAGGGCGCCATTAATATCTGCGATTTTATTACATTACCCGTCGAGCAGAAGCACCCCCGCGTTAGTTGGGAGTGTTAAGTTTGTTGGTAGCGATGCGACTGCAACGCTTGGGTTTCCTGGTTCTTTCGTGAACCAGGGATGTGTAACTAGTACCAAAGGCGGCTTCCTTTCTTGGGAAATAGTGCCCTCTCTTGGTCCAGCTCGAGGCGCATTATATATCTGAGTGACAACGTACAAATTAGAACGGTTTGCAGACCAAAGGCTGATTTTTGAAAGATTTGTAGATCTTCTGCTCGGTCCATACAAACACCAGACTCCAACTTGTTTTAAAGATATTAGCTCAAAGCCACCCGTCACACTTTTCTTCCCTTGTCAATGCAGTATCACGAGCGGATGGAGGGAGATCACGGCCAATTTTATTTCAGGACCTTCGTGTAAAGGATAAGGAAGACCCCTAATAGGCACTGGAACGTAATAAGCTGCAGGAATATAACCAGAACGTCAGAAAAAATGAGGACACTTCAATATGAAACCTTAAAAACTGGGATTCAGTTCAACTTCAAATAAATGGAAGATGAGAGTTCAGAAATGGCCGACTGGGTCAGGTATATTCTGGGAAAAAAGTTTATGGCAATTTGAAAATGAATTTTTGATGACCTGAGACTGTTCTGCATTGCAAACAGGCAAACCAACCGCGGGGAACTTGCAATGGATTCAGTGCTTGTTTTTTGTCAACATTTTAATTCACAGGGCAATGTTTTCTGCTTCAGAGCTTTATAACAGTCGACCTTGTGATAGTTATAATGGCTCCACCAACGGCGACAACTACCTGACTATGCGTTGTATAAACAAAAATTCCCCAACCCCCCCAGAAAAAAAATCCTTGATCCACTCCAGAGAATTTGCAGCTGTCCTTGAGTAAACAACAATAGGATGAAGGTCGCTGTGTACGTGGACACTCCGCAAAACATACCAAGGACAGGTTATATCGGGCATCAATACATGCTTAACAAAGTGGTAGCACACTTTCTATTGTTAGCGATGCTTTGCCAAATCGATATTACTTTATTTGACAGGTTTTAAAAAGATTAGTGATGTTTGTGCTGATTGTTCTAACTTTAAAACAACAATTTACTACCGTAACCCAGTGATGGAAAGAAACTAAGAAAATTAATTGAAACGATAACAATGAAAAGACGATGGAAAACTATCAAAACTCTGGAGGCGATTCTTCTTTTCTTTCCAAGAAATTGTGATAACATACTCAGTTTCTGCTACTTTGTATACCAATGAATTAATTAATGATTAGTACTATGCAAAAGAGCAAACTACTATGTTTAAATGATCAACTTGCGTTATTCCCTCTTCAACCGACATTATTAGTGAAACAGACTAATATCCTTCCAGGAAGCTTTCCAATTACAATGACTAATTTGAATTACTCAGCACTTTTCTCTAGGCATACAGGTAAAACCAAGGAAAAAGGAGATGCAGTGAATCCTATCATTTCTAGCATGTCTCAACTTAATTAATTAATAAGGCCAGAGTGTTGTCTTCACAGATATGTATCTTTGACTGAGATCACAGTGCAACCATTTCACAAGACATGACATAATCTATCACGAATTTCCACTACAATTATCCAGTTTCCTGTTACTGGTTATTTTCAAGTTGTTCTTCGGTGCACCGTGCGAAGGAGACGTCCTCGGGAAGTTCCTCGCTCTCGATCGCTCTGCACAGCAGGCATAGGTTGGCGTACTGGTACACTGTCCCGTCAACAGTGGTGCAGTGCGGTCTGTAATTTTTGGGGCAACCCGGTAAAGTAATATACCTCGTGCAGTCTGTTGTGTACTGGGATTCCTATTGAAAGGCGGAAGGGGAAAATGGTCCCGTCAACAATGTTCGTAAAGACGCATGCCACTTTAAGTTTAGTGTTTTATCACATAACAGCGTGTTCTTGCCTGTGGCACAGTGGCGCTCTTTGGCTGAACGGGGTGTGCCACACTATCACTGTCCTGAACGACAGTGGCATGGCACTTTTATGAACTACAAACTCCTTACTGAATATAAATACAGTGTAGATTTAGAACAATTGGAAGTGACATTTCCGCACCGTCGTTCTCAGGCTCTCACATGCGCTTAGCCCAAGGACAAGACTACACAGAAATCCAATCTAACAGTGACATTTGACCGCTAAAATGCAATTCGACGATTGGAGTGCCGTGCTACTTCTGTGCTTCTGCCAGTTTAGTGCGGTGAGCAAGGCGTCTACTCTGGACCTAAGAGAACTGTCGTTTTAAAATTCATGGGGTAACGTTGCAATGTTTCATTTATCCATGACCCTTGAACCAAAATGGCAGCGTAAATACTAAATCAACTTGAACGTACCTGTGCTGTGCAGAAATCCATCATGATGATAACTGCGAACGAAATAAATAAGGTATAACCATGAGAAATAACAGGTATCTAAATAGCATGGTACTGATAGGGCGTTATTGTGTTTATGTTCACCTTTGCTGTCAAAACAATTGATGGTTGATGAAAACTGTGCTTGAAGTTTACCTGTATCAGGTAAACAGAACAGAACTTTGATATTAGTATTTCCCTTTAAAAAGTAAATTAAAAACTGGAGACAGCGTAGTATCATGGATATTTATTAAAAGAACCTGAAAAAATACACGAGGGGGGGTGTATGACCCTTTGAAAATTTACAGCACAAAATGTTTCATCTACCGACGGATCCTCTTTTGTTTTACATTATTGTAACGAATCAACGATCGGCGCTACCTACCAGCCATTCCAACGTAAAGAAGCCAAAACAGTGAACGCATGTTGCTGATTTCGTGCACACACAACCTTGCCGTATTTTGTATCAAGAAGAGCGCAGCGTTTACAACAGTGAGGCGGTAAATTACGGAAAAGCGAAGACTCTCGTCCCCAACGAGTCTCTAACTGTTATGTGGAGTCAACCAAAGAGAGCTGTGGCTTATATTGACTCGACCTTTATAATTGTACATGTTATCGAAGTTCACACAATGCTTCACACGTTTGCTGGACATGAAAGGTTGCACATGTCAGGGTGTTATCAAAATGTATTGTTCTATATGTCACGCAGCTTTGCTTGATGTTAGCTCTGTTAATGTTTGCGAATAAGTTTATAATTTTTTCCTCAGCTCTTGTTAATTGGTTAACTTCTACCTTAGATTGCACCTATTCACTCAGTAAATCCATTCAACCGCATTATTATGAAATATTTAATTGGAAAGTGATTTAATTCACAAAGCTCTAAATTTTCACGCTTAACACGAATGGAAAAGAACTCATTTGTGTCTATATATCTATCGAAATTCCAACGAACCCGCTTCATGTGATCCCATCCCCTAAGTATTTTTTGTCAAGGAATATTTCTAAGCTAGGACATTAGTCCTATAATCTCCAAGATGATCTACATTCCAAACCAAGATATATGTACAGCTAAGTGAAAATATACGCATGCGCGAAAACCCACAACTCCCTATTCAGTCTTGATAGTATTCCAGATGGCGCACTTACGAAGAAAGTGTTTAAAGTCTGCAAATGAGAAATAATAAAGCTAATCTTTGTCCTTCGCGCTGTGTTTTCACCTGTTTATTTATGGTACATGTGTATTAGAAATTTAATTCCCCCCAGAAAGAGAACAGAAAGAGAACACGCCACTTTGCTTTTTGATCAATAATTTTAATTTTAAATGACAATTATGAAACGAGAGTGCCAAATGAAGCTGGGGTGTTTGCATTTTTTTGTTCGTTAGCTATTTTTGACCCTTACTTACCAAAAGGTGTTTATGAACGGGAATAATAGTGTGGTAAGTTGTGTATAAACTTGTTTGCAATTTGCAAAGAAAAGTTACGTTAAGGCCGGTTCTTACTGCAGGCAAATGCGAAAGCGAAGCGAATTTGACGTCACACAGGATTTGCAGCGAAATTTCGCTCGATTTGAAATGATTTCAAGTTTAGCGAATTCGCAGCGCGAATTTTGATCTGCCCTCATAAATTCGCACTTGTATTTGCTCTGGCGTGAAGAATGACCCAGCGTTTCCACTACACCGTACACGCACACAACTCCACAGCTGCACGTCGAGAGAACATCAATGTTGCAAGAAGATATCCGCAAGTTTATTCACAGAACCTGATCTCTTTTCTGTGTATTTATTTTCCGTATTCATGAATTGAATTTGACATTGTATTGCCCGTACATGAAGCGAGCGTGTTTCCTAAAGAATTCCTGCAGCGGTACCAGGTTTATCGCCCCCCGTGCCCCAGCAAGCTCGGTGGTCGAGTGGTTGAGACGTCTGCATTAGTAAAACAGGAGGTCGTGGGTTCAGGTCCCACCCGAGTAGGCTTGCGCATTTTTTCCACAAGCTCTCGGACAAACATTGCGTATACAGTGTTTATAAATATATGTGTTCGGGTAAAGGCAAAACCCGTCAATAAAATACCCATATCAGCAAAACAAAGAAAAAAATTACCACCCACCGACCTTATTTTTGAGAGGCATATAATCGGAAGCAGGACTATTTTGGGCCAGTAGCGTAATTAAGCAACATGTCACTCTGTTCTTGGGCCAAATTTCCGTAACGTAAATTAGCGACGCAGCCACAACGCGTGCGTTTCATCGTTGTACACGAAATTGTATGTGAACCATCGAAGTGCAGATCCCACCAAAGGGACCCCCCCATACTGTAGGAAACTAGCGCCCTCTCTTGGCCTCGCTTGGTAGCAATCGCACGAAATGCGCCCTCAAGTTCCTTCCACACGTAAACATGCCACGTTATGAGGATGTGCAATATAACATCGAGTAGCTCTGTAAAGGAGTCGACGGCCAAACAGAATGGGCAGAAATTATATCACTGGTGGTCTACATTGTGGTTTATAAAACTGAATGAACATGGAAGGAACTAAATATAGCTCACAAGTGTAACCCTTCATATTGTTGAACATTGATGTAGGTTATGTGTAATCGTAACGATTAGCTCAGCAAAAACATGTTCACCTGAACCTAAATAAACGGTCGAAAGTCCAAAACCGAATGAACATGGTAGGAACTAAATATAACTCATAAGGGCAACCCTTCATATTGTTGAACATTGATGTAGGTTATGTTTGATCGTAACGATTAGCTCAGCTAAGACGTCGTGTATAATTATCAGCGATTAGTAGAGTGAACGTTCTCTAGTTGTCATGAATGAAACAGAAATATGAAATTGGTCCAAAAACGGTGCCCAGAGGTAAACCTGATTGTTGCCGTGGACTGAAAGAAGACAGTTTCGCTGCTGTGCACTCTGATTAAGTGATTTTTTTCTTTTTTCAGAAAGTCAATATAACCTTTTTTCAAAAGCTCTGGCAAAATCTAAGAAGACACTATTGACAATTTACATCCAGGATTACAATATAGCCGTCAAAGCTTTATGTACGGAACACTGGAAATACCACCAGACTTATTGGAATCCGAATCATTCGTAATATTGTTTGAATCAACGGAATGGTCCATCATTTGCAGCTTTCTATAAGTAACTGACGAAATTATTTTTGAAAAGCCTACTTGCATGGTTCAGAGACTATCGGACTAAACCCACATGTGTTATTATTCTTTCTGTAGCAAACTGTTATTTTGAAGTAAACAATAACAGACAGCCATTTTCAATGATGTGTCTTGAGACACATTTTGGAAACTGTGTGAGAGTAGTTCGTTGTTGTTTGGAGACTTCTCTGTACCTTTCTGTAATTACCGTATTTTGTGAAATAAAAGACTAGGTGGAATTTGAATACTGGATAATTTAACAATTGAATCAGGTAGTGAAAAAGATTGAAGACAAATTGTCAACTTGGCCGCTGAAAATAAACACAATTCTGAGGTGCTGGGAATGGACAATAAAAGCATTACATATTGGGGAAAATAGTCCAAACTTGAATATTACCTTACTAAGTCTTCATAATAAACCGAACAATATGGAACTTCAATGGGACGAAAATTTGATTCTGCAACGTGGGACAAAATTCTGGCTTTGCGCCTTGAGCGGTGTCAGTATTAAGCTTTACAAAGACGAGACCCTTCTATGCCATTACAATATTTCCACGAATAACAGATTGCAGCAATAAATCCCTTAGTCCTTAATTGAATGTGCTATAATGCATCAACATGTACATACTTTATGAGGCGTCTTACCATAAACGAGTTTTCAGTGCGCCTCGTGTCCGTAAGCTTGGCGTAAGTTGATTTGATTTGCATTGGAGTGAAACGCGAAAGTGTAAAAAGAACAGGAGCCGACGCCACAGACAACAAAGCTAGATTAATTTTAATGACCGTCTGGCGACAGACGTCTCTTAACAGAATAATTATAATATCACAACGGATTAATACGGGAGGTGCCCGTCACTTCAAGGATTCCTAACCAGCAGTTAATAAAAAGCAATGGGAAGCATGAAAACAACAGGTCGTGATACCACTGAAAAAAATCCAGGTTGATTTTCATGACCGACTGGCGACAGACGTCTATCACCAGATTAATTTCATTTATCACCAAGGGGTGCACCCTCGCAAAAAGGCCCTAAATATGTCCGCCGACCTCATTAATAAAAGTTATACACTCAAAATATTCTATAGTAGAGAGTCCTGAGAGCCATGAAATTGAGGAATTGGAGAAATATGGCACTGAACCCCTGGCCCGGACTCTGGGCTTCAAATTCTGAGTAATTTGGATGCAGTCAGGTCCGAAAATGGCACTATTTGGCCGTTTTGCAGAGGGATGGTTTTTCAAAATGGCTACTTTTGTGGGCAGGGACATTTTCTTCATTTTAGGGGTGGTGTGCTTCTGGTGAAAATTTTTCAAAAATTCATTGGTCAACCCCCCGAAAATTGAAAGGAAAATGAAAGGAGACATGTCGATCATCGTATTTCTGTGCAGCCTGGACACCTGTGAGCGTTGTGAGTATTTTTAAAATTATTGCAAAATGTGGGGATTTATCATTGCAGTCTATGGGAATACTCCCAGTACTCCCAGTACCCATTTTGTTACTCGTATAATGTAAAATGTCGATGGAAACAATTTGAATGTTACCATGGCTTCAGACTGATAAACAAATTGGTATAACTATACCAAAAATTCTACAAGTAGAATTAAGCAAAAATAGCATTAGTTTTTGTGTATGAAAAAAGGGGAAATAAAAGCTAAACAGTTTTCACAAAGCTACTCGTGTACCATGGAAACGTGTGAAGCATTTAAACATATTCCTAAACGCATTTCGTTATAGATATCTAAACATGTCGTGGGTTATCCTTAACATCTCCCACACTGTACCGAAAAGGGTTTCAGTTATCTTATCATGTTGCTGAAAAAAAATGGAGAAAACATGCAAAGTGAATGGAGAGTTGCCCTTTGCCCACACGTGAGTGCAGTAAATGGAACAACCTCAGACCGCGAGAATTCTTGCTCTAAAGCAGCCCAAATGCCCGGAGGGTTTACATTAACAAATGCTACAGTTAACTCCTTGGCATACTTGGGCTTTGCCTTTAGTCATGTTCAGATGTTGGGCCTAAGGTGGTCCGAAAACAATGTCCATATTTTAAAAAAGGCGATTTGTAGAGTCCAATTTATTTTGACTAGGCCTAACGATGGTTAAGCCTAGTATACACGTAGCTTCGACAAACGACAAAAATGGGCAAACTTTCGGCCTTCAACGTTACAGAGTAAGCTTAACTGAGTGATGGTTTCACAGGCAAGACCATTAAATTTTCTGTGAGAATAGCTTACTTACATATATGGGTTGGTTCTTTCGAGTTGGTAGCACATGTGCCGATACTGGCACTTGCGGTGGCATTATTGTCCGCTGCCATTTCCCCCCTTTTTTTGTAGACCTGTACCCAGCGCTGCCAAAAATCTCGTCACCTTCTCTTGTGGCTCGAAATTCACGACTTTACAGCCGTCTAGCCACCTCCGTAGCCGGATTATTTGGACATGACTTCATAATGGCCGTCCTGCCAACGGTCGTAGCCACGTCCATAGCCGGACACGGCCTACTATACAGTTTGAACAAAAGGGTTACGGCACAGAAATAGTTCAAAACAGATATTTCCTCCCTAGCCGTGATAATTAGTCTCTTTTTCCCCTTCTAACAATATTTTCTTAGTCCAGATTGTTAGTCTCTTCTACTTCCTTGAAAAAAATCTTCGTAGCTATGATGGTTATTATCCTTTATTTTCCTTTCTAAAACGTGTCCTCCTCGCCGCTATGATAAGTTGCCTCTATTTTTCCTTCTAAAAAACAAAAATCGTACCTGTGATGATAGGTCTCTATTTACCTTCCCCAAATTCTCCTGGCCTTGGTAGTTAGTTTCATTCTACAATCTCTCTCTCGAAGCAAAGCGAAGCCAAGCAAAGCCAAGCTAAGCCAAGCCAAGCCAAGCCAAGCCAAGCCAAGCCAAGCAAAGCAACACTTTATCAGAGTGCAAAGTAGCGGAAATGTCTTCTCTCGGTCCTCGGTAAAAATCTTGTTTGCCTTAGGGTACCTTTTTTGACCAATTTTATTTTTCAGATTCATTAGTGACATCTTGGAAAATATTTACTGTACTATTCGCTGATAATTGTACAAGATGTCTTTTCTCGCTGCAGTTTTGGTAAACGTGGCCACGAAAAAAATGAAAGCCCACAAGCGAAACTAATACGTGGTTCAGACTGGTGTGCCAAAGTCATGTGGAACAAATTGATCCTCGAGGTTTGTATTAACCACATAGAAAGATTAATGTTTGAAATGTTTGAGAGATTGACTGCTTCAGAGTTTAGGAACGACTATGGAACGCCAGTTTTGTTTTCATGAACCAAACCCAATGCAAATTCTTATACAATGTAAATATATTCATTTAGCAATTCAACTTTATCAATGATCCCACGACCTACCTCGGCCTTAGTGTTGTGGTTACCATGGCAAGCGTTGCTGAATATAGGACCTGTAACTTACGTGGATAAGGACACAGATAGGCTCTTAGTCTACATGCAACATGCTCAAGTTTGTCTGCAAGTCATGCTCTATTGTATGGAATTCATATCTGCCGTCGTGCGTCGCCCGTCGTGCGTCGAACGTCATCCGTTTTTTTGTCTCGATTAGCAGTGGTATTTTTAACTTTGACCCTCGATCGTTTCACATGTCCATGTACTTGTTCCATCGATCCATCGTGCCTGACTCTCATTTTAGCAGTAGAACTAGAAGATGTATTCGTTTCGGCAGTTGCGCCGAACTCCACTTGAAAGAAGAAATAATGTCCTTTCATTTTTAAAGACTGACATCGGTAAAGTGACGTGTATGTGAAGTGTGACGTGTATATAATACCATTTTTGGTTACATAAATAAATTAACAAAATAGACTTTTGTTAGGGTAGATTGTTTTTCTCGATAACTTAGTTACTCTAGACGTAACTTCACTCGTTTACGGCCTGACGTTAGGTCTATAGCCTATGTGATATTTCTGTCTGTTCCTGCACGATATCCCACAGAACGGATGTAAATAATAAATTATTTACAATGCTTGATTTCTTAATAGTTTTCATAATAGACGAACTGATTCAACATTATTTTGAGGGCGGGTATACCTATGATGAAATCTGCTATATACTCCAAATTAGACATGACTTAAGTTGCAGGTAGGCTCACAAAAGTCTTTTAAACAGTATAAACGTTACTTGTTAGCCCCATAAATAATGCTGATATGCTGGACAACCTGTTCTCATTGGTCTATCCTCCATGTATTGTGTTCCTTAAGGCGCCTTTCTTTTTTGGGTTCGTTGCGTGCGGGATACATTCACGCGATTCACTTTCACATGCACAAAATTCAACCCATTAATTTTGACGGATACGCAGCGCTTGGCGCTATAGTTAAAGCGCCTGTGGAAAGATGCCTTTAGGCCTATGCAATGGGGAAACGTACGATTTTTCCATCCACTCAGCGTCGTCACGGCTGGTAATATAACAACCGTCCATTAATGTAAATCTGACTGATGATGTACCTGAAATTCACCCTTAATTGACCCCGGAAGCAAAAGTCGCACGACCTTGTCAACCCAAACAAAATGGTTGCCTGTCAAATCCCAAAATATGAAGTCAGTACCTTCATCGGTTTATGAGTTACCGGCTGATGGAAGCAAGTCGTTTTTTAAACTAAATCTCATGTAATTTGACAAAGATGGACCACATCAAGCCTGATTACCTGTTAACTATAAAAATAATAAATAGACCGCCCGATTTCTAACTATTTGAAAAAATGCGCCTTACAATAAAATATCATATTACATTGCATAAATAACTGAGAATGACATTAAAAGACTGATCAAATCAGTATGAACAAAACTCGTACGGTCAGAATTAAATGAGGATTCAGTAGAAAGGAAACCCGTTAATATACATGAAAAGGAGAAAATACATAGCTTAGATCCCCCCCAAGTCTCCGGTTTCTGATCACCGTGCACATCGCCGTAAGACCTGCGCGTCGGCAAGAAAAAGATTTTTTATTTTGCATTAAACGATTTCCAAAAGCCACCAAACTTACTTGATCGGCAGGAATTCTGCTACCGCGTAATTTTAATGTGTTTTCAATGGATGGGGTTAAGTAATATGTCCTGTAAAGGAATTCCCTAAGGCTTCCACACATTTCAGTCGGGCACTCTTATCAGATGACGTCATTCGTGTCGGAATCAGTTAGCTGCGGCTTGATATCATGCAAGATTCTATGGCCGTAGATGCTGCGAAATACTCAGTGTAATTTTCGGCCTTAGCCAATTGATTCGGACCCGGGCCCACGTCTGTGAACCAGAAAAACGAAGTAGTCTTACGTCCTGCTTACGTATGTAACATTAGAAACGCTTTTAAGCAACAAACCGTGAGGGGCCAGTCTATTTCAGTGTCGGCGAGGCAGTGGCGTTACATACGCATGCAGTGCATGCAAGTGGCGATGGGCATCGTGTTATGGTAACCATACATGTATGAACTTAACAACTCATGTATTGTCACTTGCCAAGATCAAAGGTAGATTAGAGTGAGAGGAGATGATGATTTTCTGCGCTGAATTTTCGCCCTAATATTTTATATGCAGCTTGTTTCTAAAACAGAAAACAATGTGCACTGGATATCATTTACCTCATGAGAATTTTATTTTCATTTTGACTCTGGAGCTGAACTGTTTTCAATTAATTTTTTTCGTGGCTATTTGACGTGCAATTTGTTTCCTCTAAGCTAAAGCAGAAAACAATGTGCAAAGAATGTCATACAGCTACCTCATGAGAATTTCATTTAAGGAAACTGGAGCTGAACATTTATTTTTTCACATTTAACTTTTCCATGGTTGTGCTACTGTATTTTAACAAGGTCAATCTTGCCAAGAATATAAAGCCTCTTGTTTGAGTGAGATGACTGAAACCACCGCCTCACGTCATATTTTATGGTCTTTTTATTAATTCAAAGTTGTTAATTCATACTTCTCATAGTAACAAGGCCATGCGCTCTAAAGTATATGTGCATGTACATCACTTTTAAGAAAAAAAAGAGGAAAAAACCCAAAAATTTATTCATCAAGGAAAATGTTCATTCCTTGTACAAGTTACGAAAGTGAGTCGTGCATAACTCATAATTTCACATTAAAAGCCTTCCGAAAGAAAAAGTTTAAGTTTAGATTTAAAACTGAGATTTCCGTTGCTGCATAATTTCAATCAGGAGATCATTCAAGAGTTTTGGACCAGCAATGAATTTAATTTGAAAATGATTCGTCGCCAGGTTTGTTTTCTGAAAACGATATCTGTAGGTAAAAACCAACCACATGTATAGAAGTTTGAACTGAATTGCGATAGGTAACATTTAATATTTATTTCATTTCTAAAGAGCCATTTCTATAAAGCGCCCATATCCGAATGACAAAAATAATATGATTACACAATAACAATTCTATGCTATAATTAAAATTATAATGAGAACTACAAAACTACATGTAAATTACCACATGATTAATAAAACATAAAATTATATGAATAAGATCTTGTTAATTGTAACATGTATTAAAAAGGTACGTCTTGATTGCACGCTTGAACTCGTTTTCATTCTTAATATCTTTCAACTGGTTTGGCAAAGAAATCCACAACGTCGGTCCAGCAATTGCAAATGTCCTGTCGTTAAGTTTATTATACGATCGAAGATTGAGATATATCATACACTACAGAGTTGGCATAAGTAATTAATGAAAGAACCAAGCTCTCAGTAACTCCTTGACTCGTATATTTTCAAATACTACCTTACATTATAATTCACCCTCTTGCAAATATGATTGATATGAGAGTAATAGACAATCTTGTATCCGGCCAGACTCCAGACATTGTCAACGATTTTTATATGGTTGTCACCAATTTTAACATGGTTAATGTGGATTTTATCCAGCTGTTGTTGAGAACCAAACAAAATCACCTCTGTTTTTCCAGCGTTAAGTTTCAACTTGTGTTTCAACATCCATGCTTGAAACGAAACAACACATTTTTCAATATTTTGCATTGAATGAGTTTGATGACACAGTTTGGGGGAAAAGAATTGCAACAATGGGTATCTTCCGCCTAACCAAAACCAATTATCATGTAATTGTCGATAACTTTGATGACGATGATAGGCAATAGGTGTTGCAGTGCAATTATTGATAAATTCACGGAGTAATATGACAAAACTTGGGTTGCTTACAAACTAATCCAGCAGCAGTATTTTGAACACAATTGGTGATGATCAAGTAATTATAAGTAATTTTTTACGTTATCCGTTGGTATTGCATTATTGGTTGATTTTTATTACGTCATTGCAAGGGTTACACTGTCGGACGACTATATATTTGGGTGACAATGTACGAATTAGAATGTTTATTTGCTGGTTTCTAGACTAAAGGGTGATTATTTCGAAAGATAGTTCGGTTGTTACGTGTACACATGCCGCCTCAGTATGTGTTTCAGATTATGTTAAGCTAGCTCACAAGACTCTGCTTGTTACCTGCATTTGACCCCTGGCCACGCTGAATAACCTCACTGTAGTCCAGAATATTCCAGTGGTACGTTACGGAAGTTTCATGTAGAACGTTATTTCTAGTGTACGTTCTGGACGTTTCTTGTAAGATTAAGTAATGCCAAAAAGTCTATTTTATAAACTTACGTAATGAAAAGAAATATATTAAAGAGTCGTAGGCTATAAAAGACGGACCCTGGCAGACACAAAAAGATATTTTGGAAGGCAATTCTACCGTACGCGAGATGTGAGAAGTCTTTTGACTTGTTGACGTCTGCACCATTTAAACATGTGGTGGCGAATCGTCTGTGGTACTTGTGAGACATGTTTGTCCAGACCAAGTGAGGCGAGAGTTGAAATTTGTCCCGAAAAAAAAATAGTTCATGAACTGAATCTAGTTCAAGTTTGTAGGATCATCAAGTTCCCGTTTTTATGACGCCCTTGCCGTTCTGCCTTGAGCCCGGTCATTCTGATTGGACGTGGTCTTCATCCACGTCGCAGCTCATTTTTGCACAGTCAAGGACTGTTTTTTTTTGGCCATCAATGGAGTCAAACATTCTTCACTGTAGTGTCTGCCAAGCTCTCCCCGATAAGATCATCTTGTTTATATAAGATATGTTCATAATTCTTTACCGTTATCATTGTAAGCTAGTTCCAATCCGCAGTTTTATGCTAAGTGTAATTTTCTCATTAAATCATACTTGTTTATTTGTTCCTTATATCGGTGTGATCTTGTTTGAATCCTTTGTTGCATCAGAGAAAATTCAAGCTTCATAATAATTAAATAGTTTGGAGTTTTTCGTATCGTAACACGGTGCATACAATCACTAGGTTCCATCCTGTTTCCAAGGCATGGGTTCCAAAAAGCCCCATATCGCACTTTTATTCCCTTGTCGATGCAGTGCCACGCTTGGATGGGGGGGGGTTCACCCCATGGGCTTATGACTAATTCTATTTTAGGACCTGCGGCTAAATGTTGAAAGACCCCCGAACAGGGCAAGAACAAATTACATCAACCAAAACGAAGTCACAACACAGCGCTGGAACGTTATAAGCTACCAGAAGACAATGAAAACGTCAAAAAAGATGATGAAATTTCAATTTAAAACTTAAAAGAAAGGTATTTAGTTCAACTTAAAATAAATGGAAGATCGTGGTTCAACATTGGAGAACTTTGTCTTGAACAGGGTTTAAGGACAATTTGAATATGAAATTTTAACCCACCCGAGACAGTTCTGCATTAGCGGGAATTTTACAACTTGCTTACTTTTTTGCCAACACGTTATAATTTACCAGGCAATATTTTCTGCTTCACAGCTTTATAAAAGGGGACCTTGTTACAGTTATATTGGCTTCGGCAACGACGTGTTATACTGACATATATTTCCTGCCTCCCAGATCCACTCCAAAGTATTATTTTGCGCTGTCGCTGAATAAATAACACGTCAATGATTTGAAGGTCGCTTGCTGGGTACGTATCGACACGCTGCAAAATTGCACGACAGGCTATTTTGGGTATCAACACATGCTTTTAAGAAAATGGTATCACACTTTATATTTTCAGTCATGCATTGTCAAATCGATATTAGTTTATTTGACCGATTTGAACAGATTAGTAACGTTTGCGCTGATTGTTTTAGTTTCAAAACAATCAACTAACCCAGCAATGCAAAGAAACTCAGACAATTAATTAAAACAAGAACGACGAAAAGACAATGAAGGAAATCTATCAACACCTTGGAAGTGATATGGAATTGCAATTCTTTTCAGTTTAAGAGATTTTGACAGCATACTCAGTTTCTGCTTCTTCATAACATTCCAATGAATTAATTGATGATTAGTCATTTAAAGATTGAAATTCAAGGAAAGCAACCCTTTTTGCAGCATTGCAATACTCAGCAGCAACTTGTGTATAATTGTAGCTTTCTTGTAAGAAGGCTAATGCATTTAAATAACTCAAGAATTTTGAATATGCAAAAGAGCAAACTGCTATGTGTAAATGATCAATTTGCGTCATTCCAACTCCAACTGACACGATTAGTGAAAGTCTGATTTATCCTTAAATGAAGCTTTTCAAGGGAGCTTTAACTGATTACGATTGGTTAAGAATATTATGCAGTTTCTCTAGGCATACAGGTAAAACCAAGAAAAAAGGACTCTAGCCTGTCTCCACTCAGCAGAAACGATTAAGGCCACTGTGTTGTCTTCATAGATATGTATCTTCTATTGATCACAGTTCAACCATTTTAGAAGAACTGACATAATACACCATAAATTTCCACCACTTTTTTAGTTTCCTGTTACTGATTATTTTCAAGTTGTTCTTCGGTGCACCGTGCGAAGGAGGCGTCCTCGGGGAGTTTGCCGCTCTCGATCGCTCTGCACAGCAGGCATAGGTTGCCGTACTTGTTCCTGTCACTGGTGCACATCGGGTCATAATCTTTTGGACACCCCGGGATAGTAGTGAATTGCGCACAGGAGGCTGTGGACTGGGAGTCCTGTGGAAAGACGGAAGGGAGAAGGTGTCCAGTAAGCAAGGCTTGAACAGGCTAGTGTAAGGTTTAGGCCTATCATTCGGTACGCATCGCGGTGTGTTCCAGTCTTCGGCACAGCAGCGTTCTTTGGCTGGACAGTGTCTGCCACGTTCGCAGCGCAAATGAACGTAGTGGCACGGCCCTTCTATGAACTCCATATCGAATATAAATACAGCGTACATTTCGAGGTTAAATCTAATCACTTGTAGTTCTCTATCAGCGCGTAGTTAACCGTCTTTGAAGGTGAAAATGCACAGGAACGCAATATAATTAACTGTGACGTTTCACTGCCGAAACTAATTAAAACTGGACAATTAGGTTAGAGTGCCGTGCTATTTCCGTGCTTCTGCTAGTCCGGTACGGCGAGCAAAGCGTCTACACTAGGCCAACAAGAGAACTATTCTAAAATTTGTGTGGGAAATTCATCAACCCGCTAACGTCCAAAACGAAACGTGGTGGAAATACCGAATCAACTTGAGCGTACCTGTGCTGTACAGAAATCCATCGTGATGACCACTGTGAACGGAAGAAATAAGAACAGGTCTAAATAGCATGGTACCGTGCTTGTGGAGCCTTATTGTGTTTTAGGTTGATCAATGTTAAAATAACAGATGGTCGATGAAAACGGTGCTTTCTGTTGTTTACTTCTGTCTATGCTAAGAACGGACCCAACGGAATTTGGTATTAGTATTTCTCTGAAAAAAGTAATTAAAAACTGAAGGCTATATAGCAGACAATCATGGATATGTAAAAATAAACGAACTTGAGAAAAGAATTAAGCATTGTGGGTGTATAGAAGTATAGATCAATTTAGATTTGCCTACAACTTGTACGGGCTGCTAAAGTTTGCAGAAAAATCCCTGTTTGGTCGGTTTCGATTTTACCTCAATCGCGTTCAAAGTGGACATTACTTGCCCCCTTAATTTGATATGGTTGTACTGTCATTTAGTATTTAGTAGTGCGTGTATTATACCTGCGTGGGATTGTTAACACGTTGGTGAAACCTTCTGTTACTTTGTACTGACGCCCAACTATAGGGCGTACTTTTAAGGTAAAAAAAACTTATTGTAGATTCATCATGCAAGCATTCAACTCTAACTATAGTTTTAGCAGCGAAAGGTAGCAAAAACACAACTCTGACGTCAAAAGAGCAGTATCAAATGTTTCATCTACCGACGGTCCCTCAGTGTTTTACATTATTGCAACGAACCAACGATCGGCACTTTACTTACCAATCAGTCCAACGTAAAGAAGCCAAAAAAATGAACGCATATTGCGGAGTTTACACACTCCCCCACACAACCTTGCCGTAGGTATATCTGTATCAGAAAAGCACAGCGTTAACAACAGCCTGGTGGTAAATTACGGTGAAGCGAAGATCGTCGTCCTAACAAGTCTATTACAGTCCTGTGGAATCAACTAATGAGAGCTGTGGCTTACACGTATTAGGCTTTTCTAATTATACACGTCATCAAAATTTACACAAGGCTTCGCACGTTTGCTGCTCATGAAGGAAGCGCAAAGCACTGTGGGTATCGTCACTGTCCCAACCAGTACGCTTCATTTCTGCGCATACCCTTTGGCATTTATATTGACAGGATAACGAACAATTATTCGGTTGTTTCTGTTTGGTTAATGCTTTGAACATCATTGCAATTCTTGACCAATTGAAATTGCCAAAAATATCTTTGAGGATCAACAACCTTACCAGAGCTTTGTTGTGCCTACCAAAACGTACCAGTACCAATGGTTAGCAGTAACAAAGTCTTCCCCATGAGACGTCAAGGAAATCAGCTGATTCCCGTGCAGCGCATTTGGTTATGGCAATGGGTGAAAGCAGAGTTGCCCACTGCAGCCAAGGGAAAGATCTGACCACAACATGAGGTATTGGTGATTCACTCGCATGCTATACATTCGTCGAGCTTTCAGTGGATAGAATTGGTTTGAACAACGACCTGTAGCAGAGAAAGACTGACCACGGTGTCTAGAGACGTGATGAAAGC